ACCAAAAAACAGTTAAAATACCTTCAGAAAGAAAAACTCAAAAGCAGATGACAAAAAGAGTACAGTTAGCATTATATGCAAAAGGCATTTTCATTATTGTTTTCAAAAATCATTAAAGAGTAAGTGTATTATTTTGGCCACTGGAAAAAAGTTTCAGATGGTGTTGTGAGTTCCTGAAATAAATTTTTAAATGGAATAATTTATTTATAAAAATGTAGATATAGAATGAATTTGCACTTAGGTTTTAATGAAGTAAAATTATAGTTAAATGAATTAATAGATGAAATGATCCGAAATATTAAAATCTTACCCAGATAATTCTTTTTCTAATTCATCATTTTTCTTCACTTCTTGATCCAAGTTATACTCCAGAGATTGTTTTAACTCAGTAAGTTTCTTTAATTCTTCCTTTTCATCCTCACACTTTGAAAAAAACATTTTTTTAATTATGTTTAAAAATCTACAGATACTTTTCTTTAGTAAATATATTATTTCTCATTAGTTCATGAATAATATGTGCTTGGACAGATTTAGAAAATGTAATTTATAAACCTGATACTAATAAGGACAGATTTCAAATTAATAACATTTCTTAAAACAGCTCAAAATGATTCATACTCTCATCATTATTTTTTATGAAATTTAAAATCCCAAAATTTATTTGAAAAAAGTAGTGGTTTTTATACATAAAATACTAAGTGTTAATGAAAAATTTTTAGAAGGGTAGTTATGTTTACATTTTAGTTTTCAAAGGTGCCCTAGTAACATCATCAGCAACAGATATTCCAGAATTTGTTATATCTTCCTAAGACAATTTTTGGAAAACTTCCATCTGGTCCCCATTATATTTTTGATTGTCACCTGGCTTGACAGTGAGCTAAATACCCTCATTCGCTGTAAACATTCTTCCACGGATTCCAATTTTTCCTGTCTTAATAACCATTTCTCTTTAAATAAAGTTTAAGTCTTCTCTATAATAAACAAAAACACAACTTTTGCCTAATTCTTGTGGCTTTTCTGTCATCCTGTTTCTCCCCTTCCACTGGATTCTAATATTCTTTAATAATGGTCTCAGCCAGAGATCTACTTTCTCATCACTTGTGTTCTTTTATACTAAAATCTGATTTTTAATCCAGTAATTCCAATTAAAAAACTCTGAGGGCCATGAAGGCCCTATTCTTTAGTCCTTAATCTGCTTTACTTCTCAGCTGCCAGCTCCCAACTGCCAGCACTGGCCACACCCTCCCCTCTGCTCCTCTGACCCCACTGCATTTCTAAATGCAGCACCGCGATGTTTAGTCCTATCCCTCACTATTCTTCTTTTTAAATTCTCTCAGAGCTCCTTAAAGCTCAGGGCTTCAACCCAGATTTCCTAACCTACCTTTCTAGCCCTGACCTCTTTACTGAGGGCTCCTCCTTCTAGTTCGCTTCTCATTGACGATATACTCCACCACAGACTTGTCAACCATTCCTTGTGTATATAGCTACTAGTCTACATTTGATGTTGATTCCTACTGATGTTATTTTGAAAAGTTGTGTTATTTTCTAATCCTGGGGGGTACACTGACTCTTAGGATGTGGACCAGCATACTGTGTCTATTTTTTTATAATGCACAAGGGTCAGATTATCAACTGTTTGTCTTTGTTTTCTTGTGAATAATTTCCTTGTCCACAGTCTTATTGTAAAGTTTCTTTCAGATGCACACTCAACTATATCACTTGGAGGCGTTTGTCAACTACAGTTCTCTTGTCTTCCTAATCCAGATTCTTCACCTCAAAATTGTGTCCTTCAAATATCTTAACCCAGGCAGTCTCTGACTTAGGAATTCATGAGATGAGAACCTCTGGAAGAAGTTAAGGGGCATTGATTGAGTTGGCTGAAAGCTGTTTCTTATGAAATGTTTGATTCACGGGGTGGACTTCAAAGTGGCTAACAATTCTAAGCCACATTCCTAACTCATTTCTATGGGAATTTATTAATACAAATTTTCCAATTTTTATAGCTTAAGTATGAAAAGAATTCTAATAAAATGGTAACAATTTATATGAAGCCTAGAAAAAAAAACTTTTCAACGTTTCCTTGGCCACGAAGGCCAGTCAACAACAATGTTGTAGTTCCCCCAACAGGTATATCTGTATAGAATTGACTTAAAGAAACTAGTGAGTAGGAGCATTTACCTCGGTGCTCCAATTTAGTATTCACAATGCAATCTTCTGATCTTCATTCCTACAAAGGAAAGCATGAATGACAGGGGAATCCTGTTCTGCTTGGTAAACGGTGATACAGTTTTCACTATACATCAAAAAATTGGTATCCTAGAATACACATCAATCTTTTCTGAGATTGGACTGTGAAGTCTTTGAAAGGCTGACGAACACAGGTGAATGGAAAAAAAACTAGTTTCTGACTCTGCAATGCCAAGAGTACTATATAACTCTGTAATGTCCTGCTGGAGCAACTATTTCCACTTTTTCACTGGTATCTCTTTTCATTTTTAAAATCCAAAGAGAGAAAAACATTCCTTTGGGGAAAAAATGCTTATAAAATGACCTATCATGCCTATAATCCCAGCACTTTGTGAGGCTGAGGCAGGCGGATCATTTGAGGCCAGGAGTTTGAGACTAGCCGGGGCAACATACCGAGATCCTGCCTCTACAAAAAATTTTAAAACCTAGCCAGGCATGATGGCATACACCTATACTCCTAGCTACTCAGGAGGATGAGGCAGGAGAATGGCTTCAGCCCAGGATTTTGAGACTGCAGGGAGCTACGACCATGCCATTGCACTCCAGCCTGGGGAACACAGTGATATCCTGTCTCTAAATACAACAAATAAATACTGTTTTTAGAGTATCATAATTTTTTTATTAAAATCTTTCCACCAAAATCATTAATTTCATGAATTCACTCAACTTCTTCTATAAAATCAAGAAGACTTGCACTACAAGTAGCAAGTACTATCAACATGAAAGCAATAAATATTTTTCTCAATGAGACTTTTTATATTGTCCAAAGTATTCTTATATATAAATAGTTCCCAACTTATGATGGTCTGACTTACAATTTTTTGACTTTACAATGGTGTGAAACCATTGTAACTTTGACATACTTATAATGGTTCAACTTAAAGAACTGTTTGACTTTACAATAATTTGAAACCATCGCAATTTCAATGTATTTTGAATTTTGATTCTTGGTCTTTTCTCAGGCTAGTGAGAAATTGTGAATATGTGGTACATGAGATATACAATACTTTATTATAAGACAGACTTTGTGTTAGATGATTTTACCCAACTATAGGCTAAAGTAAGTGTTGTGAGCATGTTTAAGGTAGGCTAGGCTAAGCTATGATGTTTAGTAGGTTAGGTATATTAAAAGCATTTTCTTCTTACGATATTTTCAATTTATTAATACAATGGCTTTATTGGGATGTAACCCCATCATACATCGAGGAACATGTATGTATACTAAAGGTTGAGCATCCCTAATCTGAAACTATGAAATCCAAAATGCTCCAAAATCTTAAACTTTTTGAGGGCAGACATGATGCCACATGTGGAAAATTCCACACCTGACCTCATGTGACAGGTCACAGTGAAAACACAGTAAAAACTTTGTTTCACGCATAAAATTATTTCAGAACATTGTACAAAATTAGCTTCAGGCTATGTGTATAAGGTATATACAAAACATAAATGAATTTTATGTTTAAACTTAGTCCCATCCCCAAGATACTTTATTATGTATATAAAAATATTCCAGAATCCACAAAAATCCAAAATCTGAAATACTTTTGGATGCAAGCATTTTGGATGAGGGATACACAGCCTGCACTACTAGAGAAATAAAATTTTCAGTATGACAGAAATTAAGATATTGACTTACAGAACTTGCGCTTAACAAGTTTTTCTGAAGCCGCTCGATTTTGTCCGCTTGCTTTTTGATTGTAACTTTTAACTTGGAATTTTCTTTTTCAAGCCTAAAATGTATATTTTAAAATAATTATTCTCACAGATAAATTTTTAAAATATCATATAATTTCTAAACAAACATCTGAAAGTATAATCATACAAATTCTTAAGGATTTGAAAAGTAGGTAATTTGGCAACTGTAATCATTTTACAGCTGTTTTGTAGATAACACAAAATTTGGGGTTAATGTACAAAAATTGTGCATTTCAAAATAGTTTAAAGCTGAAATTTTCCCTTGCCTTCACAGAGATTTGCTTATTTTCATAACTTATACAATTCTCACACTACACTGCTTATTTGCTTTATAAATACTCAAGTTATTTTGTGTACTGCTTTAAATTGTACTTTTGCATGTGATCCTGCGTCCTCTCAGCACATCTTACAGCCTCTGCGTGTTGATCCCGTGCTTCTTCCAACTAAAACAAAGAATAAAAAAAACCCCACTTTACTAATAATCAAGTACAAATCTGCTCATCACCTGTTCTGGTGACTAAATTATATTGGAACACAGCCACACCCTTTCAATCTGCACACTGTTCTGGCTACTTTTGTGCTGTAATTGCAGAATTGAATTGTTGCATCAGGGATCTTATGGCTCACAAAACCTAAAACAATATATCTGGCCCTTTACAAAAAAGTTTACTGACCTTGCTCTAAGACTAAAACACATTATTCTTGTTCTCAAATTATATTTTATCAGATTCTCAAATCTACAAAATTATAAAATAGGGGAAGATGGGAAATTACCTTACTTACAAGCATGTATATTTTTGAATCCCAAGTACCACCATATCAACTATAATTTTAAATATTTACATATGTGAGTGACCATGGCTATGCCACTGATTATAAAAGTTAAAATTTACATCATGATATATTAGGTGACAACCAGATGTTTCACAAAATAGTTTGAGAGGCAGAATCTACACAGAAGCCAGAAGACCTGGTTCTGAATCCCAGCTTCACCAGTTCCTAGCTGTGTGACCTTGAGCAAATTAACTTTCTGTGTCTCAGTTTGTTCATCTGTAAAATGGAGAGAATAATAGTATCTACTTAACTGAGACGTCAGGAACATTAAACTGGGGAATATATGCAACGTACTTAGAAGAGTATGTGGCCCATAGTGAGCTACATATGATATTTGCTATTAGCATTACTATTTTTATATTTTAGGCAGGTGGCATGCCAACAAAAGTGGCCTCCTATAGTTGATTGAATCATTCTTCATGCCACCAAAAATGGCAGCAAATGGGGCAGCCTGAGGCTCGAATACATTCCCAGTACTTCATGAAACTGTCACTAATTCCACCAGTCAACAGTACTTTTGTCCACTTATAATAATTTATAGCTTACTTTCTCTCTCTACTAGGTGGGCAATGATCACATACTGCAATGCACAGTGCACTTCCTGGATTGAGTAGTACAGAACTTATGTGACCATCGGAGGCAGGCAAAAGCCAGTGACCTGAAAATATTGGACTCCATTGCTAAATCAAGGTTGCTGAATCAATTCATTTCCAGAAATTGTTTCAGTTGGGCTGCTTTAACAAGCACTCTGATGAGCAGGTTAAGGTTATGCAGTATGGCAGATCAGAAAAGATAGGCACTCAGAGCTTTTCAGTTGGTAAAGTGCTATCAATCCATAAATTCCAGTTGGGGCTACATAATGACGGAAGGTAAATTTAGAGTTTTTTTTCATAGTGAGAAAAGGATGAGAATGTGATTGAATAATTCTCCTCTATTAGATTAAGTGGTTTTAATTTTACATTTAATTGCTTAAAATACATTTAGAGGCCGGGCGCGGTGGCTCACGCCTGTAATCCTAGCACTCTGGGAGGCCGAGGCAGGAAGACCATTTGAGCTCAGGAGCTCGAGACCAGCCTGAGCAAGAGTGAGACCCCGTCTCTACTAAAAAAAAATAGAAAGAAATTAATCAGACAACTAAAAGTATATAGAAAAAAT